AGAAGCACTCAGGCTGTAGCTGCACAGTTTGGGGCATGTCTACACTTTGAATGAAAGGTGGACATCATAGAATCATGGAATGGATTGGGTTGGAAGGGACCTTAACGGTTATCTAGTTCCAACCCCCTGCCACGGGCAGGGACACCTCCCACTAGAGCTGGTTGCTGAGGAGCTTGCTGATGCCTGGAGCTGGTCCTGCATGGACTGCTCCACCTCCAGAATTAGCAGAGCAACACTCGTACATGGCTGTGTGCCCAAGCCCATAAAGCCTGCGTTGCCACGTGCCATCTCCACTGGGCTGCAGCACTCCAGGAACACCGAACGGACTGAGAACCTCAGCTGGGACGTGTGCCTGGTCCTGCCAAGTAGTGCAAATTTACTCATCCCCTGCTGGCTCCAGTGCAAGGGAGGCAGTCTGTCTTTACCCAGCATGTCCTCCCGAGTCGATACTAGCAGCTCTCCACCTCTTTCCTTGTCAAGCAGTTTTTAATAGCTTAGCGTGGTTTTGATCTTAGGTTCTGGCCTTGGGAAAAACACGCCTGGCTGGCAGCACAGAAACAGATTAATAGTTCATGAACTGGTCTCTTAATGGCCTTTGAAATTGCCTCCACAGATGCTTCATTTCTGTCGTGCTTCATACTGTGCTTTCTATTCCAGCCTCCTTTCATGCAGGTCCCTCCAGTCAGACAGAAGAGCATCAATTAAGTCAATCGTGATACACTCACCATTGTGAGCAAAAGGGAGGAATAGATTTGCATTACACTCATTTTTCTGGCCTCCAAAATTTTCTAAATTATACAAGTATCTCCTTCATTATCCACAAGCACTATTACTATTAGGGCATGTCTGCACATGGGAACTATTATGGAACCAGGCAGGGGCGAACTTGTAGCTTTTTCACACAACTCCATCTCACTATTACATAAAATGTACATCTGCAAGAGTGAATTAAGAAAAATCTCCCCAGAGTGCTCAGTCTGGGTTACCAGTGGCTACAGGAGGAGCTAGCAATCCCGCTCTGCCAAAACCCAGCCCGATATAACGAATGTGCAATTAAAAACACCAGTCGCTGGCATAGCTTAGTGGTGATGAAAAAATTCCCATGTTCAAAACTACCTGTTTTGGTTTCAAGCTAAGTCACCTCCTAAATACTAGGCAGTTAAAAAATTACAGCCATGCTCATAATGTTACTTGAAACAGCTCATAATGGTATTTTAAACATTTTGAACATGAATCACTTTAAACCTCTTTCACATGAAGAGAGTAATACACACAGAGGCAGAAAGGATTTTCCATTCTTGCATTTAGGAGATTCAGAAATGGAATTGTATTGCACGTAAAGCTCATTATCCCAGATCCCCTAGGGAAAAAGGGAGGAATATATTTGCATTACACTCCAAAATTTTCTGCAGTCTCTATTATTATGGGCATACTAAAGAAACTTGTTTTATTGTTGACAACCATTTCTCCAGCAAAACCAGACCACCGATGCCAAGAGTAAATACACACATTACGACAGCTTCTAAAGGCCTGTAGTAAACTTTTTGTAGAGACAACCTTCAGAATGCACTTAACTGAGGGCAAATTACTACCACCTACACATGGCAATTGCAGGTATATTCACTTCCTTTTTCTCCTCATCTCTCCGAACCGTTTCCTCTATTTTTGCACGCCCACATCAAAAGTCCGTGTATTTATTGCTTTTCTCCCATCTCCCCTTTCCCTCCCACCCCCGACTTCCTTGCAGATTACCAGGGGCATGGAGAGCCTGCAGCCACCCTCCTCTTCAATGGACAGAGTCCAGAGGGAATTCAGAAGAAGAAAGGAAATTAATTAGGAGTTTCACTCCGCCAGGAAGGGTTTGAGTGCACAGCAGCTGGAGGCAACTCTGGGTTGCCAAAATCAGTGTACCTGGTTATTCAGTGTCTCCTTATCCCACCCCTGTTCCATGCCTCCAGGGATCCTATCCAATAAAGAGCTGTCAAATATTCATTCCTTTTAGGAAATCGGATCTTTTTGAACAATTTTTGGACCCTCACTTTAACTACTGTATCAAGGACTGCTTACATACCTGAGAGCAGCAATCTTCCCAAACTCCTTTCCTCTTCATTCTCAGGAAAACCTAAAATACCAGTTTTGCATATCATTTAACATAACATTTGATTTATTCATTTTTATATTTGGGAAACTCGCTCTATGAGATGCTGAAATAAAAAAACGTAAGAAGAAAGTGTAGTGAGCTGAATTACTCTGCTGCAGCAGAGCGTACTCATAGTTCCTAGCAGGTTTCTCACAAACAGAAAGGAAAATGGCAGCTTTTCTGAGCAAAACACCAAAATCTAACACTTAAAAGGTATGGTGAGTGTCTGCCACTATTCCAGTCTGCTGGGATAGCATAACTGGAGGTTGAACATGCCTTGATGTTGACAAGCACTGTAATACCTTTCAAATGTGAAGCCAAGCTTCAAATAAACAGACAAACCCTGCCTAACATGAGCTTTTACCCACTACAATTGTGTGGCTGTAACAGCTACTAAAGGTTTGTATTTTCTTCCAAGGCTAAGTCTTCATTTTAAAGCAGAACAAGATCCCTCTGACTCAGCCATAAAAACAGAAATTCTGATTTCTTAGCCTGGCATCAGTCTGAAGGAGCCAGGTCTATTCGAGCGTAAGCCCTACACAAAATTCACATGGTCAACCACCTTCCCAGAGTCCCTGCAAAAAGAAACTATTATTTTTTTTTTCAAGGATCATACCTAAGGAAATCACTGCAGTAGCATTGTTCAGTCTAACTCAAGAGTGTTTAATGGCAATCCTCAAAAAGAACAATATAAAAATGAGGAGGATGTAGATACACCAAAAATTAAGACTTTTCACTGAAATTGTTTGTCTTATAAACTGTCTTGGGTATTGTGAATGCAAACACCTGAAGATTAGCAAAAAAACCACTTTAAACTGCATTCTTGTAGTTTGCGGGTAGGCTTGGGGGTACACCAAGAACTAACCTGGAGGAAGCAATCACTGACCAAACAATCTGGGGTTGGAAACAGATGGGTACCAAGAAGCCTGTTTGAGCAAATAGGGAAAACAGCACACACACATCACTGTAAGCTGCCAGTTAATGCCCGTGAGGACCAAGGAAAATAAAAATTGAACACAGAATGCTAAGGACATGGACTACACATCCCCTTCTTCCATGTGTATTGCGTAGCCCAGGGCACCGCAGGCAGATGTGGATGGGAAATGAAATTCCTATTCCTCAGCAACTTTGAAGAAGTATCATAAATCAAATTTTATCAAGGAGCTGTCATTAACCTCAGAGCAGCACCTTTCCCCATGGCCTTGCTGGGCACCTTCTGCCTGTGTGACTGAACTTAGGTCCTCGTTCACAAAAGTGCTTTAACTAGTCTTAGGAATTGTGTATTCTTTAAATTTTAAGACAGCAACAGAGTTTGAATGACACAGGGAGTGGTAGAGGAAATGAATGAGGAAATGTGCTTGCTCAGAGTGAGAAAGCAGGACCTCCTCCAGCCCGGGATACTGCTACAGGGACTCCTGTACACATCCAGTGTGAAAATACAAATTCCAGTTAAGAAAATACTTCTCTCAGAGACTTTGCTGTCATCTCAACTGATGTCGGATATTGCTTAACCTGCGGGTCGACGTTCAGGCATACTGCATCAGACAGCAAGGTCTTTCTCATTCCATTTGAAAATCAGCATTAATCTAGCAATCTGTTTCCTTCTCTCACCATTGGGGGCACATCTTGTGATTGCTGCTAACTGATATAAAGGATGCTCCTTCCTATTACCGTGATCTTTCCCTGCCTTTTTCTGATTTCCAGACAGGCTGGATGTGCACTAGACAATTAGTACAGCCCTGACTGAGGACGCTGAACCTCACCAGACACCAGTAACGCCTCCCCAGCCGCCACGTGGAATGCCCCACTGTAAGCCAGCATTTCTCTGAAATACAAACCTCATGTTTGTTCCCCACTATAATTCCCACATCTAATTAATATTGGTCTAATAAACATGTTATAACTAAGAGAGTTCTTTGAGGCTACCTTCATAGTTCTTTCTCAATTATAATTAAAAAATAATTGCAATATATTTAAGAGACACTAGAGGGAAGCCAAGATATCACAAGAACCCCTCTCTAATCACACAGCTTGCAGTCCTGATGAAAAAGTTAAAGCTAAAATATCCTTAGCTTGGTGTAGAAATTCCAGTTATACTTACTATATGTAGAGATGCCAAACAAATTATTAATTTACAGCATGGCTTTGCTGTTTCTTTTTGGCACTCTGCATGCTGCCAGGCTCCAGGCTGCTCCCTCTGGGTGTTCCCTTGGCGATGCTGAGATCCCGGGAGCTTTCCTGGTTGTAACACTTGACAGTAAAATCACGAAGCACATTCAGACAGTACGATAACTTGCTAGTATACGCTGTAAATACGGGTGGTGAATATGTCGGTGTGTTTTCTTCTTGTTACACACGTTGCTCCAGTATTTTCTACTCTGGACATAATTTTTTTTTTTTTCTTCCCAGCACCCATCACACTGATAAGCCTACCAGGATGTCCAGTTCATCCCCTCTGTGTGTCCCTTCACCCTTCAAATGCAAATATGGCCAGAACAGCTGGTTTATTTTCCTGCTCTGAGCTGCAGCGATCAGGCACAGGGCTTCTTTAGGGTACCACAAAAAGCTCTGGTTGGGTGATCAAATGACTCCCCCTTACGTTCCCTTTTCCCCCACTCCCAACTTCTTACCACCCACATTTGCTCCCAAACAAGTGGCTGTTTACCCCAATTTTGGTGACTTCATATCCTCATTTGGCGTTTACAATATGGGCACCCTGGTACTTTTTGCCCTGGCCATCAATTCTGTTTAATTAGTACCATGTTTTGTTTTTTTTTTTTAATGCCCACAGCATGCTGCTATTTCTTATCCTACTGTCTTCTTAGTAGCGACGCAAATCAGGGTTAACCATCGGCACACGTACCTTAACAGATCTGTTTATCTTCACTCCCCAGCAAGAGGGGTAACAAAACAAAACAAAAAACATTTGATATACAAAATAAGCTGATGGTAACACAATGCCAAAAATAGCTTATTATGTTAAGTGCAAGGGAGAAAAGCCTTGATATAAAGCTTGATTGCAACAACATTTCAATTTACCAGTTTAAATACAAGACTTGCATTAAAATATTTCTTGAGATACATCTCTTGCTCTCTAAGGTGAATTTTTTTTTTAAATTTATATACAGGTATCCAGTTGTAACACTTGACAGTAGTCTCATGAAGCATTCAGAGTATAACTTGGTAAGTACACACTGTAGGTATGAGTGGTTAACGTCTGTGCGATTCCTTCCTGCAAGGGTTTATAACATTATGTTGAGTACTAGCCTCAGCCAGGTGACCAGCCACCTGATACACTATAATACCCCAAAGCCCTTCCCCAAAGTCCCACAGTCTACGCCTCCATTGCTCACTGGATCCAGATGGTGTTCTCTCTTTCTGGTCTGCGAGACTCCACTGTCAGTTCTCCAAAAGTGGAGAAAAACTGCTCCATTTCCTTCTGCAACATGTCGTTCCTCTTCTCTGCATCTTCCTTGGCCCGTTCTGCATTACGCATTTTGATCTCTACCATAGTGAATTTCTTCCGCTCTTGGTCCAGCTCTTCGTGCAGGGCCATCATTTCTGTCTCCAGGGTGAGATTTCTTTGCTCCAAGCTACAAAATAATGAAATAAAAGCAGACAGCTCCTGAGCAGCAGCTCCTCACTCACTCAAGCAGAAATGCACACCACAAACTCATACATGTGTCTTTTCATTTACAAAGCTTAAACTGAATTGTTGAGAGGGGTATCTACAAACCATGGCTTCATCAATGAACCATTCCCACAGGGCAGTGTCTTCCATAGCTCATTTAGAAAATGCCTAATCATAGCCACTGGCAAGGTGCACAGTACCCAACAGCTCCCTCTAATTTGCCAGGAATAGCCTAAGGAAGCCTTTCACTGCTGGAAGTGTTGACGCCTAGCACTAGTGTCACTTACAAGGTCAGTATAATGCCCTGCATGCCTGTGTTTCACTGCTCTTCTCCATTCCTCACCTGATTTAGCTACTATCTCTTTGCAAATATGCATTGACAAATCAAAAAAAAAAAACCCCTTCAATCAATATGTTTTTTGTCTAAAAAACATTGGAACAGGCTGCCCAGGGCAGTGGTGGAGTCACCATCCCTGGAGGGGGTCAAGAAACGTGTAGATGCGGTGCTTCGGGACATGGCTTAGTGGGTTGGGTGGGGTTGGGTTGATGGTTGGACTTGATGATCCTTGGGGTCTTTGACAACCTGAATGATTCTATTCTATTCTATAAAAATCTGACCCTATTTCACATCTGGCTTTCCAATGGAAAGCATTAGAAATCCTCGTGGTACTAAACACACAGTCCTTGTGCATGTTAAACATTATAAGAAGTGCTCTACCACACTGCACACTGTGCTGAAAATAGTGATGTGGGCAGAAGTCTGCAATATTCTGTCTGCTGGACTTTTGCTGGCAGCTCTCACACGTTGTGATCCAGCTGCGACTGGCAGTGCCAGAGGCACCAATGCTGTGCAACAGAGGTTAGAACACAAGCCAAGACCTGAACAGCTTTACTGCAGAACCTGGGTAACAAAGACAGCACATTCAGCTCCACATTGCTACGTGAATCAGTTAATGCTAAGCCTAGACCTTGAGGTCATTCACCGATTGTCATGGCCATCCACCCTAGCAACCTTGCTGTGTGCGAGAACAGAATCATAGAATCATAGAACGGTTTGGGTTGGAAGGGACCTTAGAGACCATCCAGTGCCACCCCCTGCCATGGGCAGGGACACCTCCCACTAGCCCAGGTTTCCCAAAGCCTCATCCATCCTGGCCTTGAACCCCTCCAGGGATGGGGCATCCACAGCTTCTCTGGGCAACCTGGACCACTGCTCACCACCCGCACAGGAAAACATTTTTTCCTCACATCTCATCTCAATCTCCCCTCTTTCAGTCCCTCCCCATCTCTCCTGTAGCCCCCTTTCAGCACTGGAAGCTGCTCTAAAGTCTCCCCGGAGCCTTCTCTTCTCCAGGCTGCACACCCCCAACTCTCTCAGCCTGTCCTCACAGGGGAGGTGCTCCAGCCCTCTGATGAATTTCATGGCTCTCCTCTGGACTCTCTCCAACAGGTCCAGGTCTTTTTTATGTTGAGGGCCCCACATCTGAACACAGCACTCCAGGTGGGGTCTCACGAGAGCAGAGCAGAGGGGGAGAATCACCTCCTTCGACCTGCTGCTAATGCTTCTTGGGATGCAGCCCATCAGAAGACTCTGCACTGTCTGCAGACAAAGCCACGGCTCTCCCTGGCCTTCTCTAACAGGTCTGAGCTGTGCAGGAAAGGCTCATGCAAAGAAGCAGGACTGTGAGCAGAGGCAACTCTCAGATGCAGCACTATCTCAAGAGGAATGAGGACTCTGGAAAGGAGTTCCAGCAGTCTCCCAGTCTCAGAAAGTACAGGTGGAATAAACCACAGCACTGCTTTCACTGCAAGGTGATGCCCAGTTGCCTTTCTCAGTCTCTGGAGAACAGGAATCAGCGAATGAAAGCATTGCGAGAGCCTCCTGCTTTGGTTAATTACATTCCAAGGTTCTGGCTTTGTGGCTTTGTTTTGGGTGCCAATAGGATAGCACGTCCCAACCATGGCACACAATTGCTCTTTGGATCATGATGTCATGTCAGAGTGTGTCAACTCTGAAAGATGGGAAACTCAGCAGTGAGCACCCAGTGACTGCAGCTGGTGCAAACTGCAAGTCACGAGAGGGAACAATTCTTGGATTTATTCTGCAAAAGGCAGTCAGATGGTAAAGCCAAACCATCTTACCTTTTTATCCTTGTCTCATACTCTAGTTTTTGCTTGGCCATCTCTTGCTTCAAGCTGGACACCAGGCTGTGCAGAGCACTGTGGTTGTTAGTACTGTTGGCCACAAACGTTTCACTGTTATCGCTGCTGCTGGTGGCTCTGCTGCTGTGGCCCCCCACACTCCTTCTGTCACTTTTGTTCTCATAGTCACCTGGGTTAGAGAGGTCTTCATGTGGTGGTCCATCCAGCATGGAGTCTTCGAAGTTACCTGCATAGAAGTCCTGCTCCGGGCAGGTGGTGGTGGATGAACGACAGGAGTTGGAGTGCTCCGGGAGCGATATTTCACAAGAGGACGTTGACCAGGTGGCACTGTCCACACTCTGTTTGTCCTCAGAGCTCACCATAGAAAACTGCTGGTGGACGTTGTCGTAGGTGGACAGCCTGTTGTGCTGGCCTGACTCGCTCACCGCTTCCTTCTGCTTGTTGTCCCTCAGCGTGACGTAGCCGTTGGGCACCCAGCCTGTGGGCCGGCCGTTGAGGGTGTTGCTGTGCCCATCCGTGCTGGAAAGGCCCATCCGCACACCTCCGTTCTGCACGCTGTGTGTGCCCATCTTTGTCACCGGTCCCTTCAAGGACGACATCCTCCTGGCTTGCAGGGCGCAGTTTGGTAAGGTCTGGCTCTTCTCAGGGCCCTCCACGGAGCTGCTGAAGGACCCGTTGGTGACGATGCCACTGCCTTTATTAAAAGCAGGATTTTTTTTCACCATGAGCGGTGGGCTCCTGGTGACATCTGGTTTCTGGACGCTGTTCCTAGGGCTATTTGTCTTGCTGCCTGGCAGAGCAGTTGGAGATTCATTGTCCATGCTTTCCCTTTGGGGAGACTCGGGTTTGTCCCAAGAGCAGCGCCTCACTGCTGTCTCCGTGGTGTTGTTGTTCTCTTTGTTCTGGAGCTGTCCCGCCATCCCTTTCTTTGGCATTTCATTGTTGTTGTTGCATACCTCGGGTCCCATCTGAGGGTCTGCATCCCTGGGAAACAGCTCTTCATGTTTGCTGATCATCACTGACATGAGCTGCTGGACTACCACTGTACCTGAAATGAGACACCCAGCACACGCTCATTCATGGCGCGTTTTGCTTAGGGCATAAATACTTGATCCCTCACATTCCACAAATACTTGGTAAACATTCAGCTGATACAAACATTTACGCAGTTCATCCATCTGTATAACCCCCTGACTGTTCCATGTGCCTAAAGCACCTCTGGCTACTGGGCCAGTTCAGCACCGCCTCTTCCCTCCACCAAACCAAGCCTGTGGGCTTCACAGAACCCCTAGGAACAGGAACTTTATAGAATCATAGAACCACAGGATGGTTTGGGTTGGAAAGGATCTTAAAGATCATCCAGGGCCACCCCCTGCCATGGGCAGGGACACCTCCCACCAGCCCAGGTTGTTCAAAGCCTCATCCAGCCTGGCCTTGAACCCCTCCAGGGATGGGGCATCCACAGCTTCTCTGCGCAACCTGGGCCACTGCCTCACCCCCCGCACACGAAAACATTTCTTCCTTAACTTTTGCAAATAAGCTATTACCGTGACAGTAACTGCATCCCAAGAAGACAACAGGAGGCGATAATGAATAGCAAAGAAAAACATAACTGGAAGTGACGTCTTTCAACTCAATGGGGTGATAATTTTTAAAACCTAAGTCTTATTCTGGCAAAACACTTCAACAGAAAAGGGGCAGGCAGGGGATTTGCACTGCTGGAACACAGACATTTTAGTCTTTTGGAACAAAGCAGGGCAGTAATGTGACATAATTAATTTAATGTGAATACCTTTAGCCACTCCATGGCGAGACTATCTATGCAAAGAGGAAGCTGCGTCACGCTATAGCAGAGTACGGAACTAACGCAGGACCCCAGTTTGCTACTTGCTGTAGTACATGGCCACCTTTCCTCTCAAAGAACAACCCCTTGGTGTGCACACCACTTGGCTCCACTGTCATTTACGCACTAGCATTTATAACTGGACTTGGGATAATAAAGATGTGCAACTCTATTTCGTGAAGCAGACCCTCATTAATTATTCTTAATAATCTTTCAGGAACAAAGTCAACATAGTTACTATAAGCATCCCATTTTGAAGCTACTGGAGAGCTCTCAGAGGCCTGCTGTGCTCTTATAATCAATAACTTCCCACTGGGCAATATCATTTCACATTAACTCCTTTGTAATACTCTGGATCTTTACACCCCACCTTTTAAAATACTACGTCAAGTATTAAAGTTATGCTTAAAGAGAACTCACAAATCTGTTTAATCAAACCCGTTTCTCACTAGTTAAAAAATAAACGGACTTCCCTTCAATGAGTGTGGTATCCTACAGCACCCACCACTGTTTTAGTGCTAGGGCTGTTGATAAGCAGGCTGGAGAGCTGCTTTCAATAACTGGAAAAATATCTTATTTTCCTCTTCTAGCCAGTTTAAAAAAAATAAATTATTTCTTGCTCAAACTCAAAAACACCCCAAACTTTAAGTGGCAGACAGTTCTGGAAAAATATAAACCTGTAAGACAGTACTTCATTTAGGAACGGCTAAGTCCCCTCTCCCCATCTCAAACCTCCATCCTTCTCCCCTGCCCCAGGTGAGCTGAAGACATATGGTATTCCATCAGGAAATGTCATTCTGTGACGTGTCATTCTCATTGACTTCAGCGGTGTAAATCAGCTTGCTGACACCTCTCTCCAGTTCCAATCTATTGAACGATTTCAAGTACTTTTTGTACTATTTAATGCAAAAGCCTGGGAAAGCTTCTGCTTTCCCAGGAAGGAGGAGGAAATATAAGACTAAAGAAAAACAAGTAAATGAAGAAAGTGTATAGGGAGTTGTTGCAGCTGGGAAAGAGAAAAAGCATCAAACTCACAGAAAAAGAATAAATCCACGTGCTCTCAAATAAGCGATGAACACTGCATTTTTGAGTTTGGGTAAGAATTTTCAGTGCAGGGTCTGTGTACAGCCCTAATTTCTGAGAAAGCTAAGTAAGAAAAAAGTATTTGGAGGGAGAAAAGGTGTCATATACTCGATGGAGAATTAAAGTCACAAAGATGAAGTCTAGGAAGAAATTATAGGAGAAAATTGTCGCAGTCATATTTTTGTCTTAATCGCAGAAAAACGATACAGCTGGGCATTGCTGTGAATAACAGAACACAGCCGACAATCTGATCATTGTTGTGCAAGAAGGTAAAAGATTAACTGCACTCCTACCACACGCGCTGAACATGACCATGCCATATTTACAGCAAGTATTGAGAAGAAAAGTACATTTTTAATGAATTTGCCAGGGCAGGACAATTTCATGCAAAGTCTGTTTGCAGTGCTGCACATTTCAGTCACTTCTACAGAAATCTGCAAAATTTAACCCAGAAATTTATTCAGGTTGAAGCATTCTGTGGCTATAAAACAGACATATGGAACTTACTGCACATACTACCCGGACTGGTATGTACTGTTAATAAACCTAAAGCCATTCCTTCTTTCCATTACAAGTTACATAGAGTGAGCTCACCCTCCATGATGGTCAGAGGATCTTCCACTTTGGGGCGAAGGATGTTGGGGCCAAAAACAGTCGCCAGATTTTGCACGCTCATTTTGTTTACACCTGAGTAAGACTGCACCTCATCAAGGAATCTGTTGGGAAGAAAGATGCCTTTAAGGAACATGTAGAAAGGAAAGAAAGAAACAAAAACATCAAAGCATGTGAAGGTTTCTTAACATAGTTCAAGTATTCCATTCCAAATTCTCATGGAACATCACAAAAGCTCAAGGCTATTCTCCTCAACTTCTTCAGATTTTCTTCAAAATTATACATTGATAACAAAATTTAAATCTCAATCTGGTCGGACTACAGGATAACTCTGTTGAAGATAGTAACTTTCTCCAGCAGAATTAATGGCTCATAAAATAGCCTCAAAATACAAACTTTCAATTAAAAAATAAGTTTATATTCTTTTTAGTTTGTTTGGTGCTTTTTTTTTTTTTTAAATGCTGGGAACTTCCTAGAATTTCACAAATTGCAACTGTGTGTGACACATTTTTTTAAGATCTTAGATGTATACACGGAACTTACTCTATATACTACCAGATATACACCGTTTTCAAGCTTACCATGCTTCAGGAGTTGTCTTGGTTTGGGCTGGGACAGAGTTCACTCTCTTCCCAGCAGCTGGTGTGAGGCTGTGTTTGGGTTTGTGCTGAGCAGAAGCTGATCACACACTGATGGGCAGAGCTGCTGCCAGGACAGTCAAGGACTTTCCAGCTTCTCTGCTGTGCCCGTGTCTGCAGGGGCAGGAGAAGCTGGGAGGGAGCACAGCCCCAGTGACCAGCCTGGGATTCAGCCTCAGGGTTAGGACTGAGACCAAACTGGCCGATGGTCTGTTCCATCCCATGTACGGCATGGCCAGTATATCAGTGAGGATCGGTCCGGAAGTGCTGTCTTTCTCCAGGTCAGCTCTCTCTCTCTGGGTCACCCCTCTCTTGGGGTCATCTCACTCTCTCTGTTGGCTCTTGGTCTCTTGGACGCTTTTTGCTTTCCAGGGCTGTAATTTCGGGACCCTCCCTGCTCTGGGATCATTTGCTGGGAATGGGCTGAGCCTTGGTCATCGGGTGGTGAGCAATGTCACTGTGTCACTCATTTCTATATTTGTATACGTTACTATTATCATAATTATTTTCTATTTTATTGTAGTTTAGTTATTAAATTATTCTTATCTCAACCCACAAGTCTCTTTTCCCTTCACCTGTTTAATTCTCTTTGAAACCCCCAGGAGGGGGGGAAGGTTAGCGAGCTGTTGTTGCATTTTATTGTTAGCCCGGGTCAAAACCATAACAGAAGTGCCCAGACAAGGCCAACAACTGCAGTTAGAAATGGGAAAACAGGGTCCTATCATAAAGAATATAGAATAGATTTCCTTCTAACTTCTTGCATTTCTTGCTGAGTGCAGCTTATGAAAGGAAACTCATAAATGTGCACCTTGATAGACGAAATTGTCAATTAGTCCTGCAGCAAACCTGTATTTTTAGTGCATTCACTTAAGTTCACCAATTCTCTGACTTTTTGAGTAATGCATTTCCTTCAGGGCACGTACACAGAGAGGTTTGTCTGTCAGCTCACGATTAGATAAATACCATTGTGATATTCTTACCTGCAGATATATTTCAGCAGATTATAATTGACAGCTGGCAGGCTCTTCACTTGCTTCACCAGTTCTTTCAGGCCCTTTAAATGGTTTAAGAAAAAAAGAGAGTGGAGCGACAGGATTTCTTAGTATTTTGCCAGAGATTCAAAAAAAGGTCAGCAATTCCAATTACAGGACAACAAACACACCACTGGAACTGCAGCACTAATATAGAGGTTACCATCAGGAACAGCTTGTAGAACCTATTTGGATGGGGAAAGCTGTATTCAGCTAACAAGAATTAGCAGTGGATAAAAAATAAATACATAAATAAATAACTTGGTTTCATCCTGTCTTTCCCTTCTCTTTCACTCTTTTTCTCATCTAGGATTCCTAAAGTAGTCTTTTTTTTTTTTTTTTTTTTTTTTTTTTTTTTGACCAGCAGCTCTGCAGACAATAAGGCTGAGGCTTCCAGGAACAGCTCTGGGATGAACTGGTTGGCATTTTCACCTGAGACACCGTTTGGGTATTTCACCCTGTTCTGGTCCATACTAGATTCAGAGCAATAAACAGTTATTTCAGTCTGTGCCCGCTCCAGAATGGGACAACCAGAACACCACTTCTGTACCTGCAGGAACAGACCCTGGCCATGCTCCTCACCAACCAGGAGCTTTAGACTATTTTCAGTATGAGGCTTTTAGTACTTTGCCAGCATCAGTGGGGTTTTGATCCAAACACATTACGAAATGCAATTCGAGATGGGTGGACCGGGCTAGCGCACAGGTTTGCTGGTTGGGGGCTAAGAAAGGCAACAAGACGCACAGCTCTCTCCCTTAACAGCGGCTGCACTTTTAACTTCTGTGCGGAGAAAGATCAACTGAAAATCTTGTCACACAGCCTTACAGATGGACTGCTAAGCCACCACAAAGAGGACCAAAGTGGCTCATCATCTATCGTACCGATTTTTCACAAACTGGCAGCACTACCTCCAGCACCAAAAGGCCACTGGAATTTGAATCTCGCTTTCAA